TATAGATTATACAATAATAATACTGAATACAAATCATTGAATACTGTTGAGGACTGTGATTTGTATAGTTTTTGAATTAAATAAGACTACGTAACTAAAAACATAATACAACAGCTGTCCTTTTGATGTAAGAACATTGTATGTATTATTTTTATAAATAGGGTATCACCTAATTTGTTATATAACTTTTTACTATCAGTATATTCAATTTCAATTCGTAACCCGTACTTCGAAATATTCAGTCGCCCTGATAAATCTTTCCCGACTCGAGTAGTTGAAAGTAGTCCAAATCTAGCAATGAAAATTCACTACAAGAAAACAGAAATATAATTCGAAACTCACGCATCGAACGATTGTCAAGTCCTTCGTGATTTTGATAAAAGCAATTGATTTCTTTTTTTATTTAAATAACCTTGCATGTAACATGCAACCCTCAAATTTTCCTTTGTTGATAAGCGTAACATAATTCATGACTTAAGAATTTCGTGAAATCGACATGCATTGTTGAAAGGTATTTAAGGGTAAAGCTCTTTCTGAATTTTATTGTTTTTTTTTCTTGGTTAATATAGAGTAAAACTAAAATCCTCTATTATTTAAAGCGCCCCAATGACCCAGGAACCGTACAGCTATATTACCAATTGTTAGGTGAAATTAATTTTCGTATAATTAAGTTTTAAATTTGCTTTCCTTCCAGTAAAAAAAAAGCAAAGTAGGTCATAAAATAACGAGTTAAGCCAGCTTCTACGTCTTATAATGAGCTACGAGCATGCGGTTTCCAATAATATTTCTTTAGTATTTTTCTTGCTACGTTTTAAAAAATTTACTTCTAGTAAAATATAAGTTTTCTTAGATAAATTCGTTTTGAATCAAGTGAATTTTGTATTTAGACAATATTATCCTTGTTAAATATTTTCGCAGTTATTCCTGAGGGTCTGTTACAAAATAAATGGCAAAAGGGCGGACATCACATGATGGACGGGTCACTTTCAGTCCATTAGCACCTGGATTTAAATAAAGCTGGTTTTTGATGTATCGTGAATATTTTCTTATTTAGTGAAATATTTTATGGGCGTGGTGATAGCAAGGTGATAACCAAATATTTTTGGGTATTTTTCCCCATTTCAATATTGTTTCAAAACTTGCCTGATAATTGTTTGTTAACTGTGAACTATTACAAGATTTAGATCGATTTATAGACGCTATTAAAAAAATTGTTATATTGGTGGATGGTTGTTCGTAGATAGGAACGCTTTAAGCTAGCTTATGCATTTCAGAATTATAGATTTGAGATATACATGTTAAACTAAATATCGAATACATTACCACTTTCATTGAATGCATGAACCAATACGACTTAGGGTCCTTCAAGAAAAAGCGTACCAATTCTTAAAAGGCCGGCAGCGCGCTTGCGAGCCTTCTGGCAGTGCGAGTGTCCATGGGCGGCGGTATCACTTAACTCTTGTAACATAAAAAAATAATAATAATAATACTTAGTAAGCAACTTATGTGCAAATTAAACTAATAAACTTTAGAATAATTTATGAATACTATACAAAAATGTATCTCTTCATTTCTCTTTATAATTCTCGTAACGTTCATATAACAATTATATATACTGACCATTAGTTCAAACAGACAAGAGAAAAATGGACAAACGGTAGACGGTTCCAGTTAGTTCAACAGAGTGAACTGTGTCAAGCGAACTTTCTAAAGAACTGAAAGTGTTAAGAGTTCGGGCGCATTCCATATCGCTTTGTCAAAGGAAACATTCTCACAAAGAGGTATTTTACGCGTACAATTTTTACCCCGTACATATTTCACAGAATATAAAAAATGTTACTTCTTGCTGAAGACCAAATTTTTGTAGGCAATTCTAATAATAATCTATCACCGTGCTTGACATGTATGTATCTAGACTCTACCTAGACTTACATTATCGATTTTTATTCACGATGTTTTACCCTACGAGTAAGTGTACTTGCTTACATAGTAAAATCTATATCTTATGAAATAAATAGGAATGTCACAATTGGATAATTAAAGCAACATCCGACCCAAGTGGTTTCCAAGAACTCAGTTTCTTTGTAGCTAGGGGATAATATGTGCGACGGCGAAGGCCAAGTTTTTTTGAGATACCAAAGGCTGTTGCACAGATACCCGTTAACAAAGTACTTTGCGCCTACTGAATACTCTGTAACACTAACGACATCTTTATATGATCGCAGAGAAAGTTCACAATAGCAATATTGTGTCTTATATTTTTAATATTATATAATTTACTAGTAGACTGGCCAAGCGTTGCTGTGGCTAAGGTTTTTGTTATATTACATAGTAGTAAACTATTCAAGGGAAGTAGGTATGTAGGAGTAGTAGGCGGTAGGAGAACACCAGTGATGGGGACCACCATGCTTTTTTGGTTGTTATGTCATTAAATTGTAGCTTATATGAAACGTTGGTTAGAATTGTGACTATCAAATAATAAACAAATATTTTGCAATAAAATAATATTGTGGGTATACATTGAGCTGTAAGCTATCCTATCTTTTAAGATAGATCAAACTGCACACGGTGTGCAAATTTGATTGAAATCGGTTCGGTAGTTTAGGAGTCCATAGCAGACAAACAACGTATATTAAGATACTTCATATAATATACTTCATATTTTTTTCAACATTATCGTATTGGCTCAGTACTGTAAGGATAGTGTTACTTTTGTGAAAAAAAATTAATTATATAGTATGAGTATCAGTGTTTGGATAAAACGCGAGTAATGTGTGTTGTAAGCGTTTTATCGAATGTTTTTGTTTTTATTTTTATTTAAATTAGATAATTTCAGATCTTTGGAATTCTTTAGACTTACACTATCAGGATTTAGTTTTATATAATTCTGATGTATTCGGCAGCTGATCGGTTTTAAAAGTAAGCATTATCAAGTGCCTATCTCGAACCAAATCCGCTGATTTGCTGGTAAATTTTTTTTGTGCTTAACAAAAATTTCTAGTATTTTTATTTTAACTTGTTTTTGTATAATTTATGTTTACCTTAATTGACATACATTTTAGATAAAATAGTTTATAACATATACCGTAGATTTAGTACTATGAATGATGTGGTAAACTTTAATAAATAAATAAAAATACCCATTAAAGCAAATGCTTAGATACAATTCGAAACACAAAAACATTCTTGCGTACCTATGTTTCCATATTATACATGGGATTCCGTTTCTAAACGAAAACCACAGCAACCGCACCTGTCAAGCGCGTACGTTGAATTTTCACAGGAATATCCTCGGCTGATTGCAAACCGACGGCTGACAAGAACACTAATAGCATAGCAAATATGGCAAACCTTTGAAGCTTTGTATTCCTTGCGTAGTAGAAATAGAATTGTGTAGTATGTGGCATCTTCAAAATAGATTTGCCAACATACTAAACCAGTTGCGAGCACTTTAAGATGTTGTCATTGGAGAATTGTAGATTCTTTTTTATATATAGTTTGCGTTTAAGATATTTATCAATGGGGATTGCCTACTTTATCTAAATTAAAATTTCGTGTCCTCTAGATACCCGACATCATCCCATTTGTCCCTCCTTTCAGACGAACGCGGTTTGGCCAAAACTCACAGATATCCAGATTGAGCATTCTGATTTCTGATAGCTAGGTCCATAATTGCTCCCCTCATAATTGAAATCAATTATCCTTTTATAATTTATGAATCAAAATATTTGTGTTCTCTTCGTGTATGTAATGTGTATAAGTGCTTGTCTCAAATCTTGAGTTTTATATTTCTTGTACCAATGTATGTGTGCCGAGCGTTGGAAAACTTTTGTAAATAAAATAATTTTGGATAGAATCGAGAATTTCTGACAAAATTACAACAATATTGACTGCTGACAAATGCTGTAAATTTCTCACCGTCGATAAATTTACAAACTACTGCCTAATAGTCGAGGCAATTTACGCTCCTTGGGTTTATGAGCACCTGGTATCCACTAATTACGTTTTGGATCGATACTTAACTTTTGCTTAAGAAAAATATATCCTATCTATAGAGATATCGGTTGCATGTAATGTATGTAATTTTATTTATTCATAAGTAATCTTACAGCTACACGGCTAACATAAAAGAAAACACAAACAAAACACTTAGACAATATACAAAGCCAAAACAGGATTACATTGTTAAATAAAATATACGAACAGAAAACATGCGACAATTACGTACAGTAAAACTTCACTTCTGCACTTCGTACCTTATGTAATTTAATACATATTTTTTTCTTTTCCCACAGTGGTTGCATGGAAGAGATAGGCCGCCACCTGCCTTTCCTTTACATATTGTAATTATATTAAATTTTTATATTATAAAGCAACAAAGTGTGAATAAATAAATAAATAAAATATACACTAAAACTGAAATTAAACATTAAATAGACTACAACTTCATATTTTATTTTAGATATCGTTACTATTGCTAAATAAAGTGAGTCTTCCCGCTTCCTAAAATAATTAAAATATAAATATTTTGTACGTGTAAATAAAAAAACTGTCTAATTCCAGCGTTTTTTCATATCTTGCATTAGATTATAGAAGAGTAACTAAAGACTTCAAGTAGACTGATTTAGTTTTGATAAAGTGAAAATAAGCCTAAATTATCCATTATGAGGTTTTTATACGATTACTATACAGCTTGTCCCAGTGCATTAGGAATGTTGAGACCCATAATTGTGTTAATTTGGTCAGATCAACGAATCATCAAACAATCATTTCTAACCTGTCGAGACTATTCGGTTCTCTCCTGGCAACATGGCCAAAGTATCTAAGCACCCATTTGTAAATGACGGTCTTGTGGTGATCTTTAGTTAGTTGAGAATGGACTTCTTAAACTTATTAAATAATAGGAAAAGATTTTCGGCTGTTTGCGAGTACTACAAATATAGGAAGTAATGATATTAAATTCGTGATTAATCGATGCTGATTTTTGTTTCAGATTTAAGATGTCTGTCTCTGAATTCAGACGGAAGAAGCTCCTCTACGTTTTCAACGTTTTCTTTGGTAAGGATTTCCATAACCTCCTATTAACATCTCTATCTTAATATATATAAATCTCGTGTCACAATGTTTGTCCTCAATGGACTCCTAAACTACCGAACCGAAATCAATCAAATTTGCACACCATGTGCAGTTCGATCCAACTTGAGAGATAGGATAGTTTAAATCTCAAATTATAGTCGCAATTTTAATTTATTGCAAAATATTTGTTTATTATTTGATACAATTCTAACAGATGGCGCGGCGCTGTGTTAAAATTATCAACGTTTCACATAAGCTGTCCTACCGTTTCCCTTGAATAGTTTACTACTATGTAATATAACAAAAATCTTAGCCAGAGCAACGCTTGGCCGAGTCTACTAGTATATAAATAAAATTCTCGTGTCACAATGTTCGTTCCCATACTCCTCCGAAACAGCTCGACCGAGTCTTATGAAATGTTTTATGCATATTCAGTAAGTCTGAAAATCGGCTACTATCTATCTTTCAAACCCCTAAGTGGTAAGGGGTGTCCACCCCAAAATATTATTTTATTTATTAGAATTTATTTTTTGTTTTTATTTTTTTATGATACAAAAAAATACAACCCCTAATTTTCACCCCTCTACCATCAACCCCTATTTTTTATTATGGTAGATAGTTATTTTTTTAAGGAATATATTATATTCCTTAATCTCATATTAAAATATTTATAAATAAATATACTTTTTGCACTTTTCCCTTACACAAGGTATCTCGACCTCGTTTGAATGGGAAACATGGATCTTTTTTCATATTTTTTGCGGTATACAAAACGCAATACCTTTTATGCCTACAAAACATATCAAGAATTTGCCCTATTCATACCTTCAACCTTTACTTCATCCCTAGAGTATGCACCAGTTATTTCTTAAGTCTGTGGCATACATATTTTGCATCGAGGTTAAAAAAACATTTTTAGCATTCATATTCGCAGTTACAGTTTTGATACAAACTTTTCCTTTATAGATGTCAATCAAAGCGGAACCATTGAGAGGAAAGATTTCGAGTTGGCGATAGAAGTGAGTCGAATTATTTTCGCTTTTAATATATACGTATAGTAGAAGTACCTATGTATTTTAGAATAGAAGCCATTGGTAAAACACAAAGCCTGTTTTCAAATATATAGTTGTGGCCTGTCTTACATAGGGCAAACTAAACGCAATATGTCCAGCAGACTCAAAGAACACATTGCAGACATAAGACATAGACGACACACAAAATCAGCAGTCTGTGAACACATACTAGATAGGCCTAATCACTACATACGCTTTGACCAACCGAAAGTACTTGCGAAAGAGAAAAGATTATTCCCAAGATTGGTACGCGAAGCCATTGAAATCAAAAAACACCCCAATTTCAATAGAGAAGACGGCCTAAAATTGTCAAACACCTGGGATCCAATAATATCCAAATTAAAATCTCAAAAAGAAACACAATCCGCGAAAATAGAGGACACCGTAAGCCATTTTTGCCAAAACCCTCCATCTTTTAGTCGATACCAACTCCGGGGAAATAAATACAGATAATGCAACTTTCTCTGCAGCTGTGATACTTTTTGACATTCAACACCTTTTGTCTTCAGTCACCGTGACCACGCACGCTGTAAAGCACGCGAAACGTCGGATAAATTTAAAATTATGTTAAATAGTTGTAAATTTATATAATACATAACTTCAATCCGGTCAAAATAGTGTTTTTTAAATATATAGTTGTTGCAGAACATTATCAATAAATGAATCAGCTGTAATGAACGACAGTTTTTACACCAAAATATGAAACTGTGTTGGCCTAGAGGCTTTATAGGTTTTATAGTAAGGGCAAGTGTTAGTTACAAACTCGGCTGTGCACAACTGCCCTGCGATTCTGTAACTCACTTTTCGAACTCACACAGCGGTTTTCGCATCGGCGGTGGCTCTCAAATCAGTCGTGAAGCAGTCATTTTATGATTTGGCATTCTGAAAAGGTGGGAGCTTGTAGTTTATTGTTTATCAGAATGCCAAATCATAAAATGACTGCTTCACGACTGATTTGAGAGCGACCGCCGATGCGAAAACCGCTGTGTGAGTTCGAAAAGTGAGTTACAGAATCGCAAGGCTGGACTTCCTGCCGATGTGCGCATGTAATACTAGCTCGTACGGTGTAGGAAAACTTCGTGAGGAATTTGGCATGTTTCAAAGAAGTCGACTGTCTGTGTCAGGCACAGAAGGCTGTTCACCAACTTGCCTATTAGAAAAAAGATTGGCGTAGGTGCCTAGGGAGAGAATGCAAAACGGAACTTTATATGTATCTAGTAAAACTGACCAAGATTTTATATATATAGAAATATTATATCTAAATATGTATATTTCTATTAACAGAAAGTGTGCAGTCTCCGCGGCTGGAAGCCTAGTGATGCTAAACACTCCGAGACCCATGAAGTCATGATCAAAATTTGGGACGGTCTCCGAAAACGGGCCGATTCAAACCGCGATGGGCAAGTAAGTTAAAAATTACTCTTATTATAATTGTCCCTGTCATAAAGATCAGTCCTCGGTCCGGTAATAGTAAGAATCTATAATACTATATAATATTTTTATATTATGTATTTAATATTATAACGTATTTGTATTTTTTCTTTCATATATACAATCAAGTATACAGTATTTACAATTTTCTTAACCTACAAAGTAATAATACAAATGATTAGATTAAAAAGAAATATAATATATTTAAAATATATAGTATTTAAAAAGTTCGGTCTCTGTGGCAGTGTACCTTTAACGCTGGCAGCATTTCCTTGCTGTATTGCGATACTTATTCGTTGAGCCAGGAAAGCACCAGCTCTGGGTTCACCGGTACTGTCTACCAGGCGCAAACTTAAATATTTAATAGGCGCCTGTGCACTTGAACCCCACGGCCTAAGAGTCTCTACTCCAAAGGTAACAAAATCGAAGTTGGAGGAAAGAACCTTATACTTTTTTTTAAATATTATATAAGAGCAAGTTTCTCTAAAAGCTGTGTTATATTGGGGCATGAGTTAGCTATACTCTTTTACTCATTACGCTAATGCATTTATCAAAAGTATTGAATTAGGCAAAACTTGTTTTAATTACAAATTCGGACATGGGCAGGAATAACTTAATATTAAGTTGTAATAAACTACGGAGGAATCTGTTACCTCTTAAAACAAAATTCACATTCCAATCCACGTTTTAATGATAACACCGAATTTGAATTCCCGATATTATTTCTTCATTCATTCAAAACATTACATTACATTGAGCTCTTATTGCTGTTTTATATAAAAGTCCTAGTGTATTTTCGAGCAGCCACCTCATATAAGATTGACACATTTCGAAAAGTAAAAAGCTTTGGAAAATTCTGTTCGTAAAAGCTGTCGAAAGGCCAGCGGTCATTAATGACTTTCATTTTTAATTGAAGCCCTTTTCAGCGCACATTTTTAACAGTCATTCGCATTATTTAATTTTAAGTTTAAATTTATAATGATGAAAAAAAATATGTCATGATTACGTAAACTTTTTTAATACGAACAAAATAAAGGTCAAAAGAACAAGTCTGGATTAATATAATTATTATAATTATACAGAGATAGTTTTAACACTTATAAGGGTCTTGTATAGTACAAAAGGGTTCTTTTTAGCACTGCTAAGGGAGGGTTTGAGTCTTTAGTTTCAACATATTTAATTAAGTAATATTAATTTATAAAGTATTGACTTACTAAAAATTTGTTATAGTTGTTAACTTCGTAGTAGAACAAATTGATGTTTTCTTCGCGTTTTCTTTTATAGTAAGGGCAAGTGTCAATTACACACTTATAATAAAGAATATATAGTTATAGAAACGAGTTTCGGGCGCAATAAATCAGGATTAATAATTACACATATATGTCTAAAAAGACAATTTTTGAGCATTTTTTGATAATAATGTATTGTTCTCAGTTTTTGTCCTTCCCTTGTTATAATGGTGGTTAGTGACAATACAGTTTCCTTTTACGTATTCGCAAGCTTTATTATAACTCCAAAACTGATATTGCTGACATTAAAGCCGAAACTGTGACGATCTCAAAAGGTTCTAACAAAAAGCTCTTTGCATATTCTCCCAAAACGTGCCATGAGACTCGTTGGTGACAAACGTCCTTATTTTTATAGCCCATTTGTGTATAAAGGGCACAGACTAGAACAGAGCACCGTAGCGAGTTAACGCTTTAAATATAAAAATGTTGATGGCGAGAACTTCTTACAAAGCATAATAATTTTTAATTATTATTGTATAGTTCAAATTCTCTTAAAACTATATATCCCTTTTTATAATGTGTAATAAAAAATCCTTTAATGCTGGATTAAAACTTAAATAATATAATGCGGCCATATGGCTAAATGGGTTGCCATGCCATGGCGTATCTTGTTTGACTTCTGGTTGAAGCACAGGTTACATTTATAATATATTCTGTGCCTGTAGTGGGTTGTGTAACAAGTGACCTTGGTAAGTATTATCGTAGAAAGAACATTGTTAGGAATAAAACGAATGTCAGAGATAAAAAAGGTGGTTGTTACAATTTCATAGTCTGTTGTAGTCTGCAGCTGAGCTCTCGAAATAATTTCTCGATCTAAGACAATTTTTGATTATATAAATTTTATGTTTAAAAGTACAATAATTGAATAATTCAGAAAAGATTCTTCATAAAACATCTCTATTCTTAAAATTCCATCTATAAAGACGTTTCGTCACGCCATAACAATCTCCGGCTTTTTAGATGAAAGGGTAGAATAAATCTCAAACAATATCAGCACCGTAAATCCTTTGCTTTGAGGAAATAGGTTTTTATCAAGCTGAAGACCTAAGTAAACTCGCGTTAAGCGCTTTTTACTTTACGATGTTGCTTTATTGTTCTCATGAAACAAAGATTCTACTGTCTTTTATTTTTATATACTCGGATCAAAGTGGCTTAACGTTTGTTCATAAAACAAATATAAAATGGTTCTTATAGAGAGAGAATAACAATGTATAAGATTATGTGATGAACACGATATCATTTGTTTTATTAGAATGGCAACACCACGTAATATCATAGACCTTACAGGGTGTAAAGTATCAAATTGCCAAAGTCAATTTGTTAGTAATGCGTTGAATCGTTTGTTGAGTTCAGTGATGCCAACTTTGGGGTTTTCCCCCTAAATTTAGAGGACATCAAGATGTCATGGGGGTTTTAGCGGGTACATTACAAAAAAAAATTAAACGAACGATTCTACAGAATTTCTATTAAGCCTAGAACCCAACGAAGCTTGACTATAACTGAAATAGGGTTGTTTGAAGCTGTTTCTAGAAAGATCTTTCTGTAGGAGTTGGCATTACGGCTCATGCCCACGACCCGGTTTTTCGCCGGAGCTAGGCCCGGTCGACAGTCTTGTATGGGACACTATGACGCCATGCACACGACGCCGGCGCTAGCGCTGGCTTTCCGCGCAGCCGGGCACGGTGCTCGCCGGGTCTACGCCCGGTGCGCAGTGGAGTATGGCAGTGTATGAGCGCATGTACACGAGACCGGGCCTACATCCGGCGCGTGCCGACTACTTACGCAGTACGCACAACGCCATATTATATATAATTATTGAAGTCGACCAGGAATTATTAATTGGAGATATACTACTGCGCATATTTGTATCTTCATGTTTAAGTTTGGGTTCCAAAATATGTAACATTTTTATAATGTTTCTTTTTTCATTCGAAAGTACTTCTCAAATTTCTCGTCATAGTTGCTTCTGAATGAGCGTATGAAATGCACCATGATCTTCTCTTTCTGTTAACATGGGAGGTACCCAATGTCATCTATGTATTTTTTTAGCTTTTTATACATGTTCCACGCAATAATACATTTCCTCTTTTTATCACTCAACATTTTATACGTCCACAATTCATTGAATGAAAAGAGCGTATGAAGGCGGCACCTCGATGAAACCGGGTCGTGTACAAACCGTCTTGTGTGCAAGCTCGGACGGTTTCTACCCGGCGCCGGCCAAAAACCGGGCCGTGTTGAAACCGTCTCGTGGGCATGAGCCCTTACTTAGTTCAGTTGCTCTGTATTCGGCGCCTGCGCCGGACATGCGCACTAACTTCTTTTAAAATAAAATCTAAATATCAGACGCCGACAATGTCTACTATCTGGCTTATACTAATCTCTTCGTATCTGTGACATGTATATCAGAAAAAAACGATAATACTGAATAAAAAACGAAATCGAATATCCAATTGGATAGTTGATAGTATTTTCCCCTCATTCGTTTTCATCGTCCAAACCTGTAGGCACGAAAAATATGGTGTTGGATAATGGAGCGGATACGAGTCGTATAAATATTATTATAGCGGGAATAGGAGATTCGGATCTCAGACGATTGTACAATTACATTCATGGTCACGTGTTAGTACCGGACATTAAGAGGAAGCAGGTAATTACCTTAATTGCTCCACCTTTAATTTTACGTTTTTCTACATAGGTCTCCGTAGACGAATGGGTGTCCATGTGGAACGACTACGCCCAGAATCCTTCTGCTGCTTTGAAGTGGCAGCAGCAATATTGCCACTTCATGTTCCAACTTGAAGATGCCAGCGCTGATGGGACCATTGACTGTGATGAGTTCACCACTGTCTGCTCATCATACGGCATCAATCCTCAGGAATGCAAGGCTGCGTTCGTGAAGATGTCTAAGGTATAACGTTTATTTAAAAACCTTTCTGAGTTTTTAAGAATGATGATGGAGTCTGAAGTACCAAAGCCAAGATTTCAATTAGGACCGCGCTTAAATGTTTAAGTTTTTGTTAGTATTTGTTTTTTAATATTGCATTACCGAATCTTAAGAGATTAAGTTGCAGCGGACGAAATTTAAGATTTATTAATTAGACAATATACATACATAAATATTAAATATCTTACATTACCCATGTAATTGAATTTTCATATTGAGTTATTGCATTTTTCAACAGGGCAAGGAGAGCGTCTCCTGGGAGGAGTTCCAGGAACTTTGGAAGGAGTACTTTTCCACTGAGGACCCCAACGCCCCAGGAAACTTCATTTTTGGCAGGACCAGCTTCTAAAGGGACAGAAGCTTAGGCAATTTGAATATTTGACTTGGAATCTCGGGTGTAGTTTGAACTAGAATCACCCGTGTAATCTCATATTAATTTTGCGTGTGTGTTTCAGAATGTATTAGTATTACCCTCAGGTGTTATAAACTGGCCATAACTTCAAAAAGTTTTGAAGAAATTCTCAAAGTTATATCCTTCGACTTTAGAAGATAACTCATGAAATCGCGAGGATTATCATAGTTTTAAACGGTAAATCTCTGTCTATTTTTCTCTTAAATTATTGTCGACATTTTCATACAAAATACCAAACACACTGACAAAGAGATCGTTGAAAGGTTGTATAAAGTATAATCAGTTCTAGGCAACCAATTTTTAAAAGATTTTAAATCAGTGTTACCCCATAACAAATCATAACTGTAGGTAATAACACCGTAAAAAGTCATCAGCTATGATTGATTATTACTGAAACAAACACATAAGCAATGTTTAATAATTGTTCGTGTTACTTATCGCCTAATGACCGGTTACAGATTTTTTTAATGAAAGTTGTAATTTTAATTGTTTTGTTTAATGTTTGTATTATCTCTGCCTGCATGTTATGTTTGCCTATAGGCTTTTACCAATGTATCAGTGTGTCGAGCGTTGGCAAGCTTTTATCAATAAAAAAAAATCATAGGTTAATGGCCAGTTTTATCGCACTTGAATCAAGTCTCTAGGCTCATTCTTCTTAAAGCTCAAATTAGAATTTCCAATCTTAGATTTTAACAACGAATAATTGTCGTTAATAATATTTCTTTTTAAGTAGATTTAAAATGACTGCCATTGCATTTACTGTTATATATCCTTAATGTATTATCCAATTGTTTGTATTTTAAAGTTTTACCATTTAGTCCGCTACATAGAACGATTTAATGTTTGTATATAATATTATTAATTATTGAAATTAAAAATTTAATGTCCTTCAATTATTGTTTTATTTTTAAACAAAAATGATGCTTAGTTTTAGTTCGGATAATAAAACTTTCTCACGAATCGCGATTGGGAACATTAAATATTTTATATTCCACATTGACTCACTGCAAAATTTTAAATTAACATTAAACGAAACAAAGATATGATAAATGTCAAAGTAATTATGAAATCTTCCTGACAGTAGTGATATTACAGACTCGGATCTATATTAAAAATCTATGAAATTCGAATCATAAATGTACAGAATATGATTGAAAAACCTATAAATATGAATATTTACAAAAGTATGTAAAAACTAGACATGGCAAATTTATAATGAAAAAAATTTTTTTAAACATTTCATGGTTTTTCAAATAAGTGTCAAATAATTATGATATTAAAAAACCAGTGCCGCGACAACGTCGTGATCATTTGATTCTGACACGAACGCTTTCTCAACGCCGTAAACTTTTTCCGTCTAAGGCATGCCGGTTTCCTCACGATGTTTTCTTCACCATACTGGCCTGTGTTAAATGCGGACATAGAAAGTCCACTGGTGCACAGCCGGGGATCCAACCTACGACCTCTGAGATGAGAGTTGCACGCTGCAGCCATTATGATAGAGCTGGCTTATAATCATGCAACCTATATACAAATCAGATTTATGATATAACCACCCTTCTTATATAAAATAATTTTACTTTAATAATTCCAGTATTAAACTAAATGAAACGCAAAGGCTGACCATTCTTATTTAAATGGCGAAATATAATGTTAAAAATTAGTTCCGGCCGACCGTGAATGGAATAAATGAAGCAAAAGAAGGTACTACGATGTATTGAGTCTCCCCTCATGCCTACAGAATTACCCTAATTTGTCTTCCATTTGTGAAAAGTTACCACGAGTAATAAAATATACGAGCAAGGTAAGCTACTGTCACACCGAACTCTAATTCAAATGAACCAAGCTACTGAGTTCTTTATACGAGTATATAGTCGTAAGTAAAATATTTCCAACACACAAATATACAGTATAAACAATATTCTTAACCAATTAATTAATTAATAAAAAAAAAACAATAAATTTATCGAAATTATTTTTCATATTCTATTAAATGATATGTTGGTGTCTGTATGATCATTAAAAAATGTCTAATAATACTGCATATAATAATCTCGTACTAATTACAAGGGCCACAGCCGAAAGTTTACAAAAAACAAATCATTTAAACTAATTCAATTAAAATAAAAAATTACAATAAATGCTAAGGCTACACAATCCGATGTTAGGAATTTGAATGTGCAGAGTATATCAAAAGAATGAGGTTCCACGGGGTAACAAATGCTGACACCGTGCAACGTGTGAAACGTGTAATTCTTATAAATTGCGAAATTCAGATTCCATGGTATAGGGCTACGTAACACACTTGTAAACTGTCTCCAAAAATATCTTTCTTTTATATAAATCACTGTTGAAAGATAAATAAATAAATCAATAGTACTACCACCTTTTTAGGCCTGCGCCTCAGATTTCTGTATCTGTTTCATGATCGTTTCTTTATCTAATAGGCAAGCAGGTGATCAGCCTTCTGTGCCAGACGCACACCGTCGACTTTTTGGGTCTAAGGCAAGCCGGTATCCTCACGATGTGTTCCCGTGCGAGCGAATGTCTCTTTCTGTTAAATTATATTTTATATGTATTAAGACCGTGTTTTATAAGTGATAATTATTGAATTAAATTATGAACGTTAATAGCACTTTAGAATATTTTATTTCTTCATTATTGTAAAGTTGATTTTAGCAATTGCATTATACGTATACATAATCAGAGCTGGCCTACTGGTATTTAAACCCTGAGATCGCTATACGTCCAAACGAAAATAGTTTTATTGAAACGCCCTATCTGAGACCTAAGAATTCTATACCATTGCAAAAGTTTTCTTTAGCTCTTGCAATCTAACATCATTGTAAGCAACGGTTATAAATTAATTTATCCAAACTTAAGTCATAAAACAGCAATTTCGGTGTAACACATGTCACGCCAACATTAGATGATGGCTTTGGGACCCCGGAAGGAACTATCATTAATTATATCCGGTGAAAGGGAATTCTTGTGTCGAAGCTTATTCCTAATGATTAAAGCATTGGGATATTTATGTTTGTAAATATATTCGACATTTGATAAATGTGACAATAATACATTAAGTTTTTGATTTTAGCGAGTGCTAACTGCTAAGAAGAAAAAAATCTTCTTTTGGAGATATCTCGACATTTTGATTGCTTTTATGGAGGAAGTAAGGTGCTGATGTTCCTCCGACTGTTTAAATTTAGTATAAGTTTTTCAAGGTATTTTTAATAAATATCTCAGCCTTAGTTAGCGTGTTATTCTCGTTCATGGTCCTTCGAGCCGGATAATGTAGAATCATGAACAAGGAAAACACAGTTATTAAAAATACCTTGAAAAACTTATACTATTTTTAAATCAAAACAATACCGCGATTCAAGGTGCCACAGGCGTCATCTATTGGTTGAACATAAAACTTTAATTATTTAAACACCGACCTAAAGGAACGATTCTAGATCTGATGAAAGACTTGGTGGACGCCCCAAACACTCCAGTGGCTAAAGGTCCAGATGTGGTATATATAATCTTAATTAGAAGACGGAATAATTGATTATTGTTAGCAGGTTTCAAGTTTGGACATCATCGTAGTAATTTGTAGCCGAAGACTACAATTGCTACATTTTCTAAGTATTTAATAAGGTTAGTCGTGTCTGTTAAAGATGTTATTTAAATTTAAATTAGGTTAAATAGATATTTTATAAGCATTAACATGAGAGAACTGTTTAGCTGCTTACGAAAAGGTGAATTAATTAAACGTATTTTTTAACGGTTTGGGCAATTATTATGTTTGATAAACATATAAAAAATGAAAAAAAAGTTTTAATAAAATAAAATAATATATAATTATGTATCACGTTAAAAGTAAACCTTTTACTCTATTACTATATTTTTTGAAACGGCTCAGTTCTCGAACGACGGACATACAACTACTTTATTAGCCTTTTTGTTTCTTTACTATGATTATTTAAAATAATAAAATGGCCTGTTGTGTGTTTTACATTAACAGTAAAGTTAAATCAATGTGAATTTCAATACATTCAATTTTGATATTTAGTCCTCTTTGAAAACATGTTTAGCTGTATGTATAACATTAAAAAAATATTTAAAATATATTTAGTATATTAATGATGTATGTCTAACGTTGGCTAGAGTATCAGAGGTCAAAGATCTGGGAATATATTTTAATGCGAATCTTGGGTTTGCGAAACACGTAGATAAGACATGTAAAAAGGCTTACAGAAACTTGGGGTCATGTTACGAATAGCTTGTGGCTTCACAAATATCAGTGCAATTAAAATTTTATACAATGCGTTAGTTAGAAGTCACTTGGAGTGCAACGCAATGGTGCGGGCCCCATATGAGGCTAAATACAGTCTCATGTTAGAGCGAGTACAAAATAAATTCATCCGTTACCTCTACAAGAGACTGTATGGATTGTATCCCTTGTATCCGCTTATGTACCCGACCTTGTTTTTTATGGGTATGGTGGGTTATGACCAGCTACGCCTCAGAAGAGAGCTAGCTTTGTCAGTGTATTTATTTAAGATACTTACGGGTCGGGTTCATAATCTGGATATAATGGAGAGACTGGGTCTACGGGTACCAAGTAAAAACCTGGGACGGAAGTCTCAATTTTTGGATGTACCGCGCGAGTAAAGGAACGGCAACGGACTTTTGGTTTAAAAATAATTTATTTAAATCAACAGAGTGACAGCACTTAATTAAGAACTAAACAATAATCAACTTAATATCTATTTCTTCGTGCATTTATACATTCAGATTTACTTACTAAGTATTGGTCGTTGCTGACGCACGACCTACATTCGGCTTAGTGCTAGCAAAGCATATATTAATAGGGTTGGTACTCTTAACTCCTCCCTCCCTAAGAGAGAAATTATCCGAAGGGGCTAAAGGTGACTTCGGAGAATTTCTTT